CGTTTTGAGTGACAAAAATTCTCTCGGCATGTGACGAAATTATCTGGTTTTTCAGACAAGTCAAAACTTTTGTCCCACGTTGCTTGAAACAGCTGCGATGAAATCAAGGTTCTAGTGCAAAGTTTATTAGGTAAAAGTGTAGCAGTGCAAACTGGAGTAATAAATTCTTGCTTTTTTCTTTACAAACTTTTTCTTAGCGAAACGCATAAAAAACCCTTCTAAAGTCAAAATATCAAAGTCAAGCGTCTATTGTGTTTGGGAGTGGTTCGGTCTGGAGTAGTCACACTGCAGCAGTCCAAATTGGAGTAGTCCACATGTACGTAGTTCTATGTTATTAGTGTGACGAAAGTCCACGATGGGGTGTGACGATAGTTCTAGGTATGTTACACAGTTGGTTACGAAAGTTCACTATTCTTATGACCAAAGTGTGGAGTAGTACTCCCTCAAAAATGCCATACACTTTCATCACGTGTTCTTTTTTCTGTGTGACGAAAATTAACGTCACCAAAGCGCTATCACCCAGAGTAATATGTATGTACAATGAAAAATATCAAAAATTCGTATATTCTGAAAGTGACAGTTCTCTGCTATCAATTGCTCAAATCAATCATTCGAAAAAACGGGCTTTAAGGTTTTTGTGCCCGGAATTAAGACATCGTTTTACACTTTTGTGCTCGGAGATAGATATGTGCCAGATTTGATTGATTTGTGCCCGGTTTTAATTAGATTAGGAATAATAATGAGAAAAATCTCAGCTTATTATCATCATTTATTTACTGAGGTTTTAGTTGAAAGTTTCTTTTTGAATTCAGTTATAGGACTATCTTTCAACTAGGATGATCCAATGATTACTTAGAATTTTCTATTTGTGCATGATATATCAATCGAATTTACGGAAAAGATCCTTGATCAACATTGCTGATCTGTGAATACTGTATAGTACTTTATGCGTCTTGTACATAAACATATAAACGTATGTCACAACCGATATCTGTCAGGATAACTTATGTTCATCTCTAGTTCTACTAGTAAATTTTCTCACACACAAACCGGGTACATATCTGTCTCCGAGTACAAAAGTGTAAAAAGATTCTTTTGTACTCGACAGTGCGGAGTCATAACTTATATCCCGAATGGAATAAAATCCCGATCGGCCTATACGATATATCTCGGTTGGACTACAAATCCCGATCGGGATAATTCGTATAGCCCGATCGGTCTATATAATCAATCAGTCATTTTACTGGTCGCTTAACAGCCAAATAAAAAACGGACAGTGCCATTCGAAAGAGGATTCGAAACTGATTCAGATTCCATAGGGGTCGGCTATATGCATCGCTTGGGGTACCGCATAAAAATTCGATCAAAAATAATGTATTTTGATCGGGATATAAAATATGTCCGGAACGGGCTTTTTTTTAAAAAAGTTTCGTTTTGGACAAAAATAAAATCTGGCTGCTGGAATCCAAAACCGCCATTGGATAGGGCACTTACAACTGCATACGCATTCATGGGGATCTTCAAAGTATCGGATGACGATAACCTACTATCCATTTCAAAATACAGTGTCCGTGGTTATTTTTTGAATAACTCCAGAACGAAAAGAGATACAGACCTGCAGTTTTCAACATTTTGTAGAGGAGGCTTTACTACATCTTTTGATATATGAGAGTTTTTATCAATCGGATTTCCAGGCGGTGTGTCTGACATGTGAAAAAAGAAGAGGTTGTCAGGTACTGAAGCCAAAATAATTTTTTCACTCAAAGTACACGGTTGGATAGCTCAAGGTGTCCTCTAGAAAACTGCGCAACTCCGAGGTTGCTACCTATCACCCTTTCGGATCTACGGCAATTTTGCTGGGACCTATCTATCTCTGTCTGATTAGGTCTGACAATCTTAGAACCATCTCCAAGCATAGGTTATCGACTATGCTAAACCTCATGGCAATGTTAGTTTTCAAAATAAAATGGAAGAACCGTGTGAAAACCTATATAGGTGAAATAATCTATTTTTGACTATTTTCGTCAAACATTAAATCCCTAGCGATGCGTGAAAACTCATTCGGATGAATCAGTTTTGAATCATCTTTCGAATGGCATTGTCCTTTTTTTAATCTTGAGATCGTAGCTGAGAATACTAATATTCTGGAATGATCGTTTCACATATTATTGTTTTGGTTTACTGAAAGAAACTTTTATGCCTCAGTTAAGACGATCAGTGGATGATCATATTTACTCTCAATAACTTTTTAAACATGCTTAGTAATATAGTCCGATCGGGATACAACGATATCCCGATTCGAATCTTGATTATATTCCGATTGAGCTATGTATCCCGTTCAGCATAAACTCTATATGCCGATCAGGATAAATATAAGTCATGACACCACACTGCCCGGATCGGGCACAAATCTGTCTTAATTCCAGGCACAAAAAAACGTTCGTTTAAAAAAATAGTGGCGTAACCAGGAAAAAATCGGTGGGGGTGCTCAGCACCCCCATGCACCCCCTTGGATATGCCACTATTTGCCTTCCGCTGAGAAAATGCTCATTTGTAAAAATTTCTCGGTGGGGGTGCTCAGTACCCCCATGCACCCCATTGGATACGCCACTATGAAAAAACGAGTAAAAACGTGAATATGAGCAACTGTTTTGTTCTCAAACTTTTTAAAAATAATGAAGTTAATTTTTTCGTAAAATATATGTTTTCTTTGCGGTCATAATGGATTCTGAGAATAAATATTTTTTATATCAGATGCTCTTTAAATATATTCGATACATCAATGTGTATCATATAATCTTATGTTTTTTTAATTGAGTGCCTCTGATGAAAAGAAACCCAAAGTACTATTCTATTTAAAATAAAAGGAAAGAATGTCTCCAGGTGCTTATGTTCCCGAGATGTTATTTTCTAGTTTTTATTTTTTTGCACTAGAGATATATCGAACATCTATAAAACTTGTGTTCATAGAAATGAAATAGATAGACATACATAATATATACGTTTTCGGCTGCAAAAGAAAAAGAGAGCTCCTGACCATCTGTTTCAAATCACATCTTCATTTATTATTATTCCTTTTTTTTCCAACTACCTCGTTACAGTTGTCTAACATATATCGTATATATGCCTGAAGTTTATAGAAATAAAAAATTTCCCTTAAGAAACACAAATAATGGTAAAAGGTAAAAAATACTTAAATTTCTTGTTTTAACTATCTTAAGTTTGTCTTTAACACTAAAGTATGCACAGTTGCTATATAACTCGCTTAAATGGTAAATATTAAAGCTACAGTAGTTTCTTACTGGTTTACACTTCAAACAGATACCGCTTGAACTGTATCAAGATATAGGAATATAGAAGATAAAGGAAGATGAGAAATAAAAATAGTCAAAAGGTTCGTGTTAATAAAGAAAAGCGTCATCGATTGATCAACTTTTTCTAATTATAATCACTACTATTCATGGAAATTAATTGCAGGTTAAACTAATCGGTTATAGTAAAGTGTTTTATTTGTCTCTTCGAACTAAAGCACTAGCTAGATCGACACTATTTATGTACTTCAAAAGCAACAAGGCACCTAGCAAATATGATATCTTTTTTCGCACAAGATATATCTGTGTAGACATTTGACCACTGCTGTGTTATTTATTGACGTATCGTTCCTTTGTGCTAGATCATTTCTTGTTCTCTCGCCTTTCTGTCATACCTTTCGCCTACTATGAAAATAGAACGAAGAGATTTGACATATTTGGTCAAGAGACAGAGAGAACATAGGTGAGAAGAGATATCTTTTCGTGTGCTAGATGTCTAATTTAAGACATTTTTTCATGAAAATTAGCAAGCAGATGGATCCTTTAATACCGTAACTAGTGGAAATCTTGCTTGAGTAGGGAAAAGGGATACTGATTGTAAAAAAGTGTGTTGCATACGCACATCTTCCGTACATGCCAAAAATCGTTCTATTAGTAACAGCAACAGCTTGTTACTAGATGAAGAGAAAAGTCGACATTGATCTTTATAACTAGTATAGAATGGCGTCAGCTGCAATTTGGCTTCAAAATTAAATTCTTTTTTCTCTCTTTTATTTCTTATTACGCTTATGTTCGTATGCTGCCACATAAGTAAAGATGCTGCCAATAAATGTAAAAAAAAGTAAACATATTTTTTGATAACTAAACTGAAGACAATTTCATCGCATTTTAAACAGAGTGGTAAGATGTGACATTTGTGTCCTTGAATAGACAACACTAAGTACAATACTTAATAATTTGCGATTGATTTAAAAAGCTCAAGTACTTGATCATTTAGTATCTCCTTCTGTTGAAGTCTGTAAAAGCATACGTACTGATCATTTAGTATCTCCTTCTGTTGATGTCGGTACGTATAAAGCTATAAGTACTAGTTTAATGGGGATAAATTTTTGTTTTTGGAAAAACTACTAGAAATAGTAATATCCATAAGAGTAAACGGGATACTTCACTCTATTGATAGCAGTACAGTGTGTTGATTTATAGTATTTGTCTGCCATGAACAAAGTGTTTTCAAAGTCTAATCATAATCAAATGGTATTAGCTTTGTACTTCCCTCTGTATTTTGAGTACTGTTTTTATTACTATTCTTCTCTTTTAAAAGTGTTCATATGTCTTTCCTCCTCCTTTGTTTGTCTATTTGTTGTAGTCGCTTTCCTCTTCTTCTCTATCATTACACCTTTCCTGCGTATATAGTATTAAGATATACCTTACATCTGTTCAATATAATTTTTAATTATAAAAATAATCGAGCTTTTCTGAGTTCCTCGCGTATACTATATCTCGATATGCATACACATCCATCCTTATACTGTCTGGTAAAAATAGACAACGGAATGACAATCCAATAGACCTTTAAAAGGAAAGAATAGGAAAATAGAAGGACAATGAAAGTTCTCAACTGAATAGCATGATGTACTATTTTCTTCAAAATAATTATAATTGAATCTTTATTTTAGATCTACCCCTCGTATGCCTGCTGATTCACCAAGTTGTTTATCAGATAAATTCACTATATCTCCGACAACAAATAGTATGACAACGACCGTCACATCAGTTTCATCAACAAATGGAATAACAAGAAGTTCACCACCATCTACGCCACAATTAACTCGTTCAACGTCACCATGTTTAGAAACAAGACAATTAAATAAATTAAGACGTTTTCTAAGTACATTATTTCATTTTGGATCGGATATTTCCAGTGAAATTGGTGAACGTGTTAGAACATTAATATTAGCTATTGTAGTAAGTAGTGGTACGTTTGAAAGATTTTAAAGCCACCTTCAATCAGTGTCAGTCAGTTGCTCTACTTTCTATCTACTGTAATGTTCAGCAAGGAGTCTTACTTTCAAACTCAGCTGGTTTTATATTTAGATAGTTCATTGCGTAGATAAATGGAGCTTTTTTTTTAAAGTTATAATGGATTTTTCTTCTATATGAATTACTCGAACCGTCGATTATGTTAGTAGAGTGTAAATGATAACATGTTTTTAACCCATACTGACATTTTCCCATGATAAATGTGTCCTTTTCGTTCGACCAAGAGATGTTAATTAATCGTACTCTATAAAGTAGGACCATTTATATTCCATTGAATCTATTTTGAAAGTGATGACTAAATATTTGATGGGAGAAATAACATATGCTTCTTTCATTGAATAGTCGTTATTTTCAGTTTATTTTATTTTATAATTTTGAATTTTTAAATTTTATTATCAGCGGACATAAATGAAGTTTCCTGATCTCCAGATGACACATTCATCTCAATATGAAAAATGATTCTTTATTGACTGAAAATAGATAATAATGCTAATTTTTCCAAATTTTTGGTTTATTAGAATAACGCACTATCTGTCGAAGAATTTCACACAAAAGTGCAACACACGACAAATTTTCCATTAAGACCATTCGCGTTACCATTTCTAAAAGTAAGTTAGATTGTCTAGTGGTCAATTCAGGTCTAAAAATAGTATTTATTTTAGTCAACATTACCATTATTACAAAAAGATATTTTACATATGGCTCGTCATTCAAAACAGTCTACCGCTCAATTTATTTCACAACATGAAGATCTAATATTTTTGCCGAGAGAAATTCTTGAAACAAATGCAAAAGAATTGAATGAAAATGGAAAACGAAAACTAAATGAAGAGTAGGTAGATTAATCTTCATAATGAAATTTATTTTTCAATTTTCTAATTTCATCATTGAAGTTTACGCGAGCTCGATGATAGACAATACGCGACCAAACGTCCACTAACAACGTGTACATCACCCTCACTCGTACCATCTACATCATCATCAAGAAATAGTTCATTTTATTCAACAGCAACAATTACCACAACAAATTCACATTCGTCATCGTCGTCCAATCGTTTAATGGATACGATGAGAAGAGATTTTAGGGATAAAGAACGAGCATTTACAGCTTGTACGCATGTTATTATAGACGCATAAGTATAGAAAGAAACATATTTTTGACTCAAACTTTTTTATTTTAGATCTTCGAGAATATGCATCCGATTTTAAAGAAATAACCGACAAGAATGCTGATGATGACTGGAAAAATGCCGAAAATGTATGATATTCTTTCTAAATTAAATTATCAGTAATTCTATATAACTTGTCATCATTTTTAGATGTTAAATTGTGTATTAGATATGGTGACAAAAGCAAAACGTGCTCTATTCATTCTACAACAAAAAGATTCACATCTCCGTCGACTTGTAGAAACAAACGATTTAGGTATGGTGGTGTTAGCCAATGTTTGACTGAAAAACTTGGTTTTACTGTGTTGTTCTTGTAATTTAAGAATGGAGAAGAAGACATTCAGAATTATTAACACAAACGGAAGATAGAATTGTAGAAGTTAGAAGAAAAGCTGGTAAATACTAGTTTAACGTTGGATATTTATTCTATTTTTTTTTGTTTTTTCTTTTTCTCGATTATGATGATCCGATATCGCTTTATTTTAGAAGAAGCAGTGATTGAAATAAAACGTCAAAGTATGATTGATGTACAAAAAGCAATAACTAATTCGGAACAAAAATCTTCTGAATTATTGACACGTGAACGAGAACAATTTCAACGAATTACTCAAGAATTAAAACAAAAATCATTTGAAGATGCCTATAATATTCTAAATAGACAAGAAGATGGTCCAGAAGTAAGTATCGAAGAGAATTTTTTATTTGAAAAATAGAATACATTTTGTTTAAATATTTTCTTTTCTAGCAATGTTGGCATTGTGGTCGAAAAGCGATTGAAACATGTAGTGGTTGTTCAATTGCTCGATATTGTGGTTTATTCTGTCAACATCGTGATTGGGAATTGCATCAAAAATTGTGTGGATCAGATTTAAAACGAAAACTAACTGAAAATCCACTATTGTATGGTGGAAGTATGCGACGTACTTATAAAATACAAACGCCGACTATTTCACCAAATAACAATCATCATCAAACGCAAAATAATGTCACAACAACCACATCCGATTCGCCACCATCGACAAAAAGAGCTTCAACACCGACACCAAATGAAACGTCTCAGAGTACGTGTACAACACCGTTGTTATGCGTATCATCACCACCAGTTGATGAACAAGAACATGCATCTACATCAGATACGGTGATTAATCATCAGCAACGTGATTCAACTGCATCAAATATTACCACAACAACAGCGTCAGTAGTTAAAACGGAAACTTTATAAAAGAGTGAAAAACTAGTCGGTTTCATCCACACTGACTGAATTCTACAGTTATGTCTCTATTATCCATCTCTCTGTTTTTTGTGTGTATCTCGTATTTTTATGTTTTTTTGGATAATTTAAACACAACAAATGACACATTCAAAATAGGCTTTGTTAAAAAATCAAATTCATACCGTAGGTATTATTCAAATGGTCACAAATTTATCACTTGCTGGTTTTAGTTAATTAGCACTGAGAATGAGGAATATGCACTCGACGAGCTTGAAACGATGTTCGCTGATTTTCATCGACTACACAGATTTTTTCATATTTTGTTCTGTCTGAGACTACTAAGAAAGAACACAGAGCTTCAGCTTTAGTCGAGCAAAGAGTATTCATATTCTATGTAGTGAATAGAACGTCCATTTAAAGCGGTTGTTGCATTGATCTCAATAGATGTCGTATCAAAATAATACTCATAGCTTCATTTTCAAACGATGTAATTAATTGTCTATCAGACATCCATTAATAATCTATCTAGTGTCTGTTAAATGGACAGTTAAAGGCCATTGAGACAATGCCTTGACTGATTTTAAACATTTAAAATGAGAACGTTTTAATGCCTATTTAAGTGTTAGTTTTATTACGATCAAAAAACGGACATTTATGATGTCTATTACGGGCCGTTACGACTCTGATTTTCGAACGTTTTCTGAAGCTAGTTTCTTTCTGGCTAATACATATCACAAAGAATGAATTCAAACATTTCAATGTTTTTGATTCCTTTTAGGACAATTTTTAGGTGTTCTTCTCCTGGATTCGATCGTCCGACCTTTCATACGCTGTATTTCTCCGACTACGCATTTTCCCAGAACAGGGTTTATTTGTTTATTGATTTATGGGTTCTAACCGCTCGGGAGAGTTATACATTTGGTGCTTTATCACTAGCAGTTGCTAGTAAAAGTACCCGTCGTACACAGTCGTGTCGACGTTAAATATGGTCGACATTTATATATAGTATAGCTAGTAACATGTGGGTGATCACTAGTAAAGACTATTTAAATAAAGTGTACAGCCTTCATACGAATGTATCATCATAACTCGTAGTTTCCTTTTGCACAATTTAGTGCAATGGGAAAATGCGTACTTGGAGAAATACAGCGTATGAAAGGTCGGACGATCGAATCCAGGAGAAGAACACCTAAAAAGTGTTCTAAAACGGATATCTCTCCTATAAAAAGTATTCTCTATTTTTGATTTCTGAGAGTCATGACACCAACACTAATTTCGATTCTAGAGCTAAAGGCTACTTCCTCGAGACAAATTTCGATGACTTGCATAATCGAAGAAGGGTCTAAGTTTTCTCAAAAGAATCCCTGCTATATTTAGACTAATAGCGAAACAAAACAGTGATATGAATGATGTGTTGATAAATGGTTAAAATCTGACATTTAATTGTCAGCATTAAATACTCGTTTTTCCTGATATAATAACTGTTAATAACTGTCTGTTAACGATCGATGTAAATTTCAGTTTTTTAGTGCATATAGTTAGATGTTTGTTTTTTGGCCATGATGTATGCTGAAATAACAGACAAGAAATGGTTACTGTTAACGAACAGTTTTTTGCTGATTGAAAGTCAATTTTTTAGTCATACAATAAGCAACCTATGTATGAGTTATTAAAAGTCGGTTTTATTAACCTGGAAGATTACAGTGAACAGTATATTCTTGTTCCAGAACAGACGAAACGCAGATGTTTACCAAGTTGCGTAGGCACTTCATTCAACATTCGAAGGATAGTATCAAGCATTTAAAGAATTATTTTTTGAATGTGTATCTACGGTAGTGCCAGGGCCGCATATAACGGGAAGATGTGGGAGAGCGCGCATCCTCGAATAATTGAAAACGCTGTCGCTATTTTATCAATTATTCCTCGCACAAAATGTTTTTTATCGGTTTTACACTACCTCAGGGAGAAAACTTTTTTTATACCCTCCTAATGTTGACCCTGAGTAGAGCATGTGCCGAGTAAAGACAAGTGATTACATCACAGACTCACATTGTAACTGAGCCTCACAGAGCCTAATAGATATGTAGGAGAGTCGTCGAAAAGGATCGAGTAGCACTCATCTGTGTAAAGTTGGACTATCATTCTGCTACAGAAAATGTGGCTTTTCTCTGTAAAGCAGCCGAGTTACACTTAGCATCACTAGCGATAGCACAAAGAGCATCATGTTCACGTAGAGATGGAATGGAGATAATCAATAGTATTGCTTATAAATACAATAAGCACATTGGCGTCCCCGCTGAAGGGTTGAAGCAATTTACCTCATACCTTACTGGAATAGCAATCAAAAGAAAATGTGCGTATAAACAACTATAATCAAACTCTGTGAATAAAACCCTTTCATTTCAAAAAAGTCGCAACATTTAAAATTCCAATGGAGATGTTAAGTTGTTCTTATTTCCTTTCAATTCAGAGTTAATGCCGTCCTTTCAAAATAGCTGTTCTTTGAGGCAATTTGTCCGGGACATGTTACTGTATGGATACCACTAGAGTAAAGAAAAAGCTAATAATGCTTCTATGAGGAATACCAGATACAATCTTTGCTTTCTAAGCGACTGCACTGTTAAGCTTGACTTGCTGAGTACGATTTTCGAGATACATAAACGAATAAAGATTATTGTATATCATTATCGGTCAAATACTACCATTTCTACTATTCAATAAATGGCTTTTAACATTAACATGAAGCGTGGCACCACTTAAAATTTCTATTTTTATTTAATATTATAAATATTTTTGTTGTGCAATCACGAATTACATCTTTAGGACCAATGAAAATGAGATTTTCTACCATTGCATCGTAGTTTTTTTTTCACAAAAATATATAGGCTAATCTAATTTTTACCAAAGGTAGGAGACAAATGAGATCAACGTAAGGTGCGCACAATGCAAAATTAAAGAAAAATTGTTTTGTTAATTTATTATACATTGTTGGATAGAGCTCATCGAGTTGATTAAGAAAATATATTTTTTAATTTTTCAAAATATTTTTTCATGTCGAAAAGTCGAAAATACTTGAAAGATGTAAAAACTCGAAAAATCCTTCAAGTTCAAAAAATCTTTAATATCTCGGCTCTAGATTGTTTTGAAGCCTTCAAACAATTCTTTCCAGATTCAGCGTTAAAAACTGAATAGAAAAATAGTGTTTGATCAATTTCGAAAAAAGCCTATTGATTATGAACATCCCGAACCAGTCCTCTAAAGTGTGGACATGTAATTTTGAAAACCCATCTAGTTTTTTGTGTCAATAATTAATGTGCATTTGTATTCTATCCGAATACTTCAATTTTTTCGAACTTTCAAGTCCAAAAATTACTGAGGTTCTCACCCAAAACTGAAAATCAACTAAAAATTTCAAAGTACACATTAGCCGACTCAGTTTTTGATCGTGGTTTTATAATATGATATTTTTATTGGATAAAAGTTCAGTCCTGATAGAGAAAATTAAGACTTACGGCCAGAATTTCGACTTTTTCGTCTCTAATTTAGAAAAATTAAACTTTTCTCAGCAACAAAACAAAATTTTAAAAAAAAGCTATGCGTACTTCAGCAAACCTAATGACGGGTAAATGACGGCTTCAACCATTAACACAAAAAAACTAGATAGGTTTACAAAAT